TGGGGTCTCTATACAGACCAATTGGTCTTTATAAAGACCTGGGGTCTCTATACAGACCAATTGGTCTTTATAAAGACCTGGGGTCTCTATACAGACCAATTGGTCTTTATAAAGACCTGGGGTCTCTATACAGACCAATTGGTCTTTATAAAGACCTGGGGTCTCTATACAGACCAATTGGTCTTTATAAAGACCTGGGGTCTCTATACAGACCAATTGGTCTTTATAAAGACCTGGGGTCTCTATACAGACCAATTGGTCTTTATAAAGACCTGGGGTCTCTATACAGACCAATTGGTCTTTATAAAGACCTGGGGTCTCTATACAGACCAATTGGTCTTTATAAAGACCTGGGGTCTCTATACAGACCAATTGGTCTTTATAAAGACCTGGGGTCTCTATACATACCAATTGGTCTCTATGTAGACCTTCTGCGTGTCTTCTGGTATATAAAGATTTATTTCACACCTCTCGTATTAAACCTATGCGATGTTATATGTATGTGTGCGGAATGCTGTCTGTGTTACTCTTTGGTCGTTTGTATGCAATTGCATATTATGAATATTTCAATTTAAATGATAATTTGTTGAGTGGCGAAGTACGGCTTCTGCTTTGGTTGTTACTGTCTGCAATGCAACTAACCGCACACACACACACATGCATACAAACATTGACAAATGCATGTGGGTGGTTGGGCAATTGTTGTCGGTTTTCGGGGGAAAATGGAATGCGGCTTCTGTTGATAGCTGCACCCTCGCAAACAACAATAGCAATTGTAAAATGCAATGACGCCAATGTTACTAACAACAACAGCAATGGGGGAAAAATCATCGCTGGAATTTTTAATGATGCTGAATGCGTATTCCGGGAATGTTATATGATTTCTCTCTGCCACGATTTGTATTGTTCTTGCCATGGCTTTCGACGCTAGACAAGAATTTTGCGAAATAAAATAAATATTCGTAATATTTGGTTTTGTGTGAATGGGTAGGGTATAATATTTCATGTATTGGCATAACACAGCGAAAACGTAAAGTGGGTGAGAGAGGACATTTAAACAGACGAAAAAAAACAATAATAAATAATACAAATTATAATACTCCAAAAAAATATACACCATGGGGGATAATAACATTATGAGACGGACAACAAACACTCATCCCACACCGGGACAATAATCTGTATTTATCTGTAAAATCCTTACACTATGCCAACGCCACACATCGAACATGCCGGATGTCCGCTAGCTGTATATGGCTTTGGTTGATCGCTGTCGCAAGCAGCCGCCTCGGCTGCTGCCTTTTCCATTTCCTCTTTATATTCGGGAGTTTGTAAAGCCGGACAGACGGGCATAACAATTAGTCTGGGATCAGGTTGTTCGGGTACAGTTGGTGGTGGTTCAACTTTTTGTGCCGTAGCGGGGGCCGATGACGAGGCCGGTGTTGGCAAGCTGGGACGATGCGAAGCGGCCGGTGCAAGGGTATTTTGTTGCAATGGTGTACCGACACGTTCATCATGATCATGAGACAATGGCGTACGTCGTTCATTGCCACCAATGGCATGACTTTTGGTCGCATAGTAGCTAGTTTCTCTTGGTGGTTCTAAAAGGTGATGGTCAAGTTGTTTGGCGGAGGGCAATTAGGCAAATTGAGATTTATTTAAATATAAAAATTATATAATTATAATTAGTGGTATTTAAATGGCTATTTATGCCAATTTACTAACAAAAATACGCTAAAATTCAACATCTGTTTTATAGCCTTGTTCCCTAATGACAAATTATTGTTTGTCATAAATATTTAAATTTTACATAGTGACAAATTTTAAAACAATACAAAAATGCATGTTATTAGTAACGTGATATACGAGTAAAAAAATAAAATTTCTAAGTAAAATGTTGACATGTTCCAATGTTGCTCTGAACATTGTGTGAGGGTTCGAAAAACATATTATTTTCGAACCATATATTTTTTATGGTAAAACATGTTTGCATATACAAAATATATTGGGTTAAGACAGAAAACATTTTGAAATAATGAGGTTCATGATTTTGGCATTCAACTATAAATATATATTCCCGGTAGATGTTTTAAAAAGGTCCCACACTAAATATAAATTTCGTAAAAGTATATAAAATAATCCGGAGAAGCATACTTCAGTGATTTAGTTACTTGGTTTGAATGCCTAAACATGAACTGGCATTGAGTAATTTTACCGATTTATTTACCCCACAGAAATATAAAGAAAATTATGGATGCATTCGGAGCGTACCAAAACATTCGTCCAAAACATCGAAGCACTAAGTCATCTGACATTAAATTTTTCACAAACTTTAACATGGATTGTCACAACAAAGGTGCATCGATGTACTTAAATCTATGTATGGCGATAAAGCACCATCATGTTGTACTGAGAAAAACTGTTTAAATGACCTCAATCGTGGCAGAATCTCGCTCAAAGGGTCGTCAAAAAAAAAGGGCAATTGAGCTAAATAACATTGATGCCTTGAGGAAGATTGCTAGACCCGTGCGGAAACCTCTATACCCGCCATTCACAATATGTGAAATCGATAGGGAATTTTATATGAGGGTATTACAGCCGGGAGTAAACGAAATACCATTCTACAAGTTGTAAAGTTTGGCTAGTCCACCCCAAAACTTTGACAAATTTTTGTTTGGAATACCCCAAAAATACCAATATTGGAGCCAATATCGACAATTTTTGGAATAGAAATTATTCTGATCAAGACAATACATATATTATGGGGTTTCTGGCGAACATTTGGTTGTGTTGCAAACGGAATATCAATTTTAATATATAAGTCACCTCGACCATCGACACGTGAGCCGGAATATCGTTCGTAGTAAAAGCCATCCGAAGCAAATAAAATTGATCACGTGGCAACTGTTCCACATGGCAGATCTCTTTCACACATCGGCTAAAAGCGGCACCTTTTGGTCCGCTCAAAAGGTGGAGTTGATGCGTCATCCGCTGTACAGCCCTGTAGAGGCGCCCAATGGTCACATTTGAATCCCGTACATCGTGAAAAAAATGTGTGGTCTACGATTTCCATAGCCAGAAGATCTGTTGTTGCCTTCAAAACTCATTTTTTAGGTGTCTAAATCCTAGAGGAAATACTGATTCGACAATTGATAGCCTTTGTATGTCAAATTTGAGCAACTTCGAATGCGTGTGATACACGCATATGATGGGCCAATATTTTCTGATAATCAGTTCCGAAATTTAAATAAATTTGCATGAGAGAAGATTTCGGAAAAAATCGAAAAGCGAACAAAGGAAGACGAAACATCAGACAATGCGAGAACTTACAAATATTGGTGAAACAGGCACCTTTTGTGCGACCAAAAACAGAGTTGATTGCCGAATGATTAACAGGTTGACGGACAGTTGCGTCTATAGCCGTCAAGTTCAAGTTCACTATGTGACATGACGGCTATTCTACTGTCCGTCAACGTGTTAAATTTTATTCTCGTACATCATCGTGATTCCCCTAGCCAGAAGATTTGTTTATGCTATCAAAAATCGTATTGTTAGGCGGAAACCTTTTGGTGACACCAAAAATAGAGTTGATGGGTCATCCGCTATATAGCCCTGTAGTGGCGCCCAATGACTACATTTTATTCCCATACATCTTGAAAAAATGTATGGTCTACTATCAAAAATCATGTTGTTAGGGGTCTAAATCGAAGTGGAAATTGTGCTTCGAGGATTGGTAGTCCTTGTATGCCAAATTTCAGTCACTTCGAATGCGTCTGGGACCCTGGACTAATACAATAATATTTTCTGCATAGAAATCTGTTATCAGTTCCAAATCCTAAATGCCTCTTTGCATTTCACGGAACTAGGAAATAGTTGGTGGACCATTTATATTGAACATCTTTACACGAACTATAATAGCGTCTACGATCTTTAAATACAATAGGACCTATTTTTCAGGTAGGAGGATTTATTACCTTCTAAAAATCCATAAAATTAAATCACACTTAAATGGAAAATACAGGGGGTCTTCATACGTCTGCTATGCAAATTTTTCACCAATATTCAGCATTTTATGTCATGACATTTTTTCCCATTGAAAAATGATTGAAATTTTTAGAATATCGAAAGTGGAGAAGTATTGTTAAATGGGATGTTGGCCTATAAAGGTATTTAGTTTTAAATACCAAATTTCCTAGGAGTAATATCAATGCATGGAGAAAATTTCGCAGCTCCATCATAAATATTGAGAGTTCTATAGTGATTTCAACAGAATGCCGGACATTGCGAAATCGATAAAACATTTTTCTCCGTTAAAAAAATAAGGTTAACCATACCACATTCATATACGGAAGCTTTTCCGCAAAAGTCTTGTTTATGCTAACCATTTACGATCCATTGCAGTCATATTTTGTTATTTTTCAAGAACTTGTGTAGGGTATATAAAGTCTATCTGGACCTCAATAAAAAAATTTGGTTTTTAATAAAAAATATATAATAAAATATAACTAAATTCGAATTCAATGTCAAATTCTTTGATTTATTGATTTTTTTTTTTTAATTAGACAAAATCCATAAATATTTTTTTTTAGATCCTCCCTAATGTGACCGTTTAACATTGAATGTTAGTGAAGACAAAAACCATGCGACAAAACTACGCAAATGATGACGATGGGATGCAAAACAGTTTGTTGTCGTCGTTTTTTATATATATTTTATTTTGATGGTGGTGGTTGTTTATTTTCCTATGTGTGTTTGTTGTTTGTATTAATTTTCAATTTTTTATTTTTAAATAAAATTTAAAATTAGATTTTCTTTTGATTTTTTGCAAAGAAAACAGGCGTTGAATGATGATCACTTGCATATACGTGGGTAATGGGAGGAAGAGAGTGAATGAAAATGGAATGGATGGGATTGGGGGTGGTATGGTGTGTGGTGCACTTGTTCTATATGTATATATGTTGGAGACAAAGGAAACGAAAACAAGAAAAATGTACACTTACGTAATGAGACGTTCACAATTGTAACAAATATTTTGGCCAACTGGCAAACCCCCAGTGCTTGGAGGTTTGGGTTGAGTTACTGGTGCAGTGACATGTTTGGTGGCTGAGGGCTGGTATTGTTGTTGTGGTGGTTGATATTGTTGTTGTTGTGGTTGATATTGTTGTTGTTGTGGTTGGTATTGAGTTTGTTGTTGTTGTTGTGGTTGATATTGAGTTTGTTGTTGTTGATGCTGATCTTGACCGGAGTAATTGCCGAATGCTGTCGAATATGGATAATAGTAACGTGAGGAGTACATGATGACGTTCAGGCGATTGATGGCGATGATTTAAATCGTTATAACAATTCGTTTGATTTTGATTTCACACCAAGGAAGTTCGTTATTATAATTTTTCACACGACGACGATGATGTAGTGTTTTTGTATATTTTTTTGTAAATCGTATTATTGTGTGTGGATAAATGTTTCAGAGATGTTTCCAGTCCAAAAGTATAACGTCAAATGATCAGACATGAATCAAGAAAATACACAAAAACACATAAAAGACAGACAGACATAGACGAACGTAGGCATTCCAAAGACAATTATAGAATGAAAGAAAATAAAGAGAAAAAAAAAACAAGAAAAATAGGAGAATGAGAAAAAATAACACAAACATATTTTTCAATCAGTAAATATGCAATACAACAGGTCCAAAAAAATTGAACATACATAAGCACACACAAATTAGATATATGGTCCAAGATAAAATTAAATAAATGGCAAAAACAGATGTCTTTTGCAAAACAAAAAAATATCTATTTATCTATATACCTATAATATAGGAATTTTGCAATGCAATGGAATTATTTCAAGGTCTTCCCTGGCAAGTTTTAAAAAAATTGTATGCAGCTATAAAACATATTTATGCCATGATCCAAAATCTATTTCTTTAGTTTAACTAAAAATAATACTTTAATTGAGTTTAATTTATTTCCCTTGTTCTATGCCATCTAAATTATGAAATACTCTTTTTTTCGCTAATGCCATGCATCATCTCCTAAGGGATTACTGCCACCATTAATGGCAAACATTGTTTGAGCTAAAGCATAGTAATCGTGGAAATTACCTGGAGTTGAGGTGCCAGATTCTTCTTCGCGCAAGAATTTCAAAACTTCAGACTTATCGGCTTGGTATTCCTTTTCGTTTTTCTTGAAGTTAACACTGTAAGAAAAAAAATAAGAGAAATAATGAGGAAAAATTAAAACAAACCAAATTATATAGAATTACTTGTTAATGCCTGAAAGTATGCAACAAAGTTTAAATTTTCTATTTATAAGGCAATTACACTATATTACAGTTCAGTCGACAAAGATTATGATTTAAGGTTATTTAAAATGTCATTGGACGGAAATGTTTGCAAGTTTGATATGTGGGAGTTGTATGTCAACAAAGATTTTCAAAACACGGATGGAGGCGACTATATAATACCTACACCATTACTTTTAATACATGCAAGTGGTGCTCCAAAATTCATGTCGTTACGCATTATAAATTATGTTCGGTAGAATATATTTCGATTATATGCAAAAATTAGTATTATTACGTAGAATTCGTTTTCTAAATATTTACATGACATTGGACGAAATTACATCTGGAAGCTATGTCTGAATCAAAATCAATTCGTCCTTTGTGGTCTGATATTATTTTAAATGAATAAATTAACACCCATTTTAATAAATATCGTATAAGTGGGAAATAAATAATAAAAAAAAAATATATTGGGCTCTTTGCCAATAATTCATGTTAACAAATTTGGCTAAAATGCCTATGATAAATATAAATCCATGGCAGACGACATCAATTAGTTCTAGTGACGCCAGTCTTTAGGTAGTGTCAAGTGATATTGAAACTAGTATGTGGCCAACAAAAATATATATATTTGTATATATTTTTTGTTTATACATAAGTGGGAACATGCCAACTGTTTTAAATAAATCATTGCATACTATTTTCGATGAATGTCAATGACATTAAATAATGTCGAATTAATCTCATTGTGTTTTGGGAGAGATTATTTTTAAAAACATAAAATATATCATAGTAGTATCTAAAAACAAATTTATGAATTTGGAAATAGGTTTTAAATATCCAAATTGTAATTTGTAACATATAAACAAAACTCTTGCAAATAGCCACCATATAATGGTACTCTATATTATTCCATGTTTTTGGGGTTTGAAACGAACCCACGTTGGACTATACTATATAGAATGAATTTTTAGCTAAAACTTCTGATGTTATAAAAATGGGTGGGATATTTATATGGGAGATATTAAACATTAGTGAATCTATGCTCAGAAAAGTTTCCAATAATATCACGAAAACTACTGGATATCTTAATGGGAATTTCCCTATGATCTCAAAATCCAGAAACTTAGGCAGATATTGATAAAGCATGGTAGGGTGAAACATATGTCTAAAATCGAGCAAATTAGAGAGCTAAGCACAGTTAGAGAGCTCGGCACAGTAGTTATATTGCAAAAACATAAAAAAGCTAAATATTGCGCCATTTGACCGATGGACATTACGCTCAACCACACAGAAACACACATCACGCCGCATAGAGCATGTACATGAAGTTTGGTCAAAATCGATGCAGTAGTTTTTGAGCTTAGAGATCACGTAATGTTTATATATATTGGGAAATGATCTGAAGAGTTTCTCTTTCATCTACTACATTTCTTGGAATCCGTATTCGCATAGTTGGAATGCAAAAGCGGGATTCTCAATGCGATGTGGTCTTTTCGATACACATATCGAACTTCAAATTACTTCAGATGGGTTCCTAGTGAAAATTACCTATTCTCAGGTCTGAAAAAATTCTCACTGGAAAAAGAAACTTTCGTCAAATGAGGAGCATATCATCGAAACTGAAGTCTTTATTGAGACAGATGACAAATCCTACTTAATTTGTATTCCTTTGCAAGGAATAATGTCGAATTTAATAAATAGATGCACATCTTCCAGGTGTCTTATCTCTTAGTTGGAATTGTAGGGAGAGGTTCGCTTTCTTCTACATCAATTCCTAGAACCCATATTCGCATAGTTCGGATGCAGAGGGGCGATTTCCAATGCGTTAACATACACGTATTAATGTAAAGCCTAATTTTATTTAAAACCCATTTACTTTACAATAAAGATTGGAAAATGTTTATCTACATACAAATTCGATCCTCTTTCTTGGGTTTCTCTGATATTCGATACCTCACCAACATACCCTATAAAATGCATATAATATTGATCAACTGACAATTTAGTTAGTCAGTTTTGCCCGTTCAACTATTGTAACAAAGCTATCTTCCGAAAGATATTTTCCTCAAATGTGGGTTTTGTTTGCAGGCGAGATCAAGTTTTTTCGCACATTTTCCATCCGAATTAGTTCTAACTAGGCTTTAGTACCTCTTATGAAACGTTCATGCAAAAAAGGTTAGGTATAGATTCATTTTTAGATATTACTTTGGATATTTGGGGCCTTTTTTACTCAAAGTGGATGTAAGTTCATATTTGGTGTTGCTGCCAAAAAATGTAATCCTTGGTACACTTTTAGGTACAGATTGAAATTCTGTTTTTTTTTCTTGTTCCCACTGGGTCACAAGACCCTTTTCAAATAATTGTATGTTTGGCATATTTCCTATGTCACCAACATTTTTATACTTTACATTGATTTTGACTGAAAAGTCGACTTTTTGATCTTTCGAATTTGTTAAACCGGTTCAAAACTTTTACCGACCGATCTCAACAAAAAAATGGTTTTTAAATGAATTGTTGTCAACAAATAAAATAAAGTTCTGGAATGTGTAATTTTTTGGGCCGTTTGGACTTTGGGAAAGATTTCCTCAAGGACCAAAAGTAGATTTACTTATCCCTAGCTGCAGATATCTATATATTTTATCAACATTTTAATCAGGTTTGAAGATAACATTTGCTGAAAATGAAAACAACATTCAGGAAATTTTGTTGAAAATTAATTTTATAATATCACGCGAAAGACTATCCGGTTTAAATCGAAGCTGGGTCCTTCGGTTAACTCTTACTGGCAAGTTTTGTTAATCCAATAACAATCTTATCTCCGATGTGATACCAAATGTGCACATCATAATATTTCTTTCAATTTTAAATCAAATTCAAAGATTGGACACATTGATCCACTTCTTCTGTACCTCAAAAAAAAAAAAAAAAAAAAAAAAAAAAAGTTAAAATTTTGTTGAAAATAATTTTATATAATATCAGTTGAATGGGCAATCTGACTTGAACTAAACTTCGGAAGATGTCGATCCACTCTTTCTAGTATCTCCCCCACAAAGTGTTAACATTTTGAAATATTGAAATATTTGAAAGTAAAAAGCTTTGATCTGAAATTTGGGCATTCGGATATTTTTGCAAGTCTAAATTAAATCCGAAGATGTGATCTATAGGGAAACCTCATGTTGCACCTCTCCAACACTTTGATAAAAACACGTACTTTAAATATACATATGTTTATGGTATATACTTGATGGCAATACCGACAGACATCTTTTTACTTCCAACTTATTAATATTATTATTTTTTGGAAAACTCATTACGATCACATATCGACGCCTCCGAACCATAGTATGCTAAGTCGACTTAGCATGATTTAAAGTTCTTTACGTTATTAGATACTACGGTCCTTAATTTATATTCTCTGGTTTGGTAATCATCGGCCAATCCAAACCAAAGTTATAAGCAAAAATGTACTTAGCATGGCCCGTAAGATATATGAAACTTCCACACTTTGAGAGCTTCTACTGAAAAACTCACTTTTCAGACTAAGCATACTATGGTTCGGAGGCGTCGATATGTAATGTAATAAATAAAATTCTTTGTTGTCTTGTGTAGGCCACTTTAATTTCTGCAATCATTTTTTATAGCATACTTTAAGGCGAATACATATTTCATAGATTCTAACAACGAGAAATGCTGCATACAGTCCATCAGCATTATGTTTGGCGTTGCCAACCAAACCGCCCGCCCGTATACATTGCTCAAGCCATCACCATTGTTCCGGATTGCAGGCAGGCTGGCTGGCTGGCAGGAAAATTTAATCAGTAACATCGGCTATTGTACTTCCCAAATGCAATACAAAACACGCTTAAAGGCATTAAGAAAAATTAATTTGAGTTTTCGCACAATACCCGCATGACTCTGACTGACTGATATCTTGATTGGGCTGCTGCAGAATGTACTATATAAAAGTACACACTTCTATACATCTATAAGTAGAGCATATTCTCTGGAATTCTCGGTTACTAAGGCATATAGTTCTTGTGAAAGTGGAAATGAAACGAGCGAAAAAAGAAAACACTGAGCTAGCAGTGTGGTATGCATGCATGTAAATAGTTTTCTAGGTTAAGAGAATATAGACCGAACAAATTGTTGTTGTAGTTTTTGTTTTTGTTATGTACGCATTAAACTATGCTTAGGATAGGCATGAAGTTTCTTCTTTCATTTCAGTAGTTGATGTTGTTGTTGGTTTTTTTTTCTTGTTTCTTCGGCACAAAATAAGTCCTTAGAGTAAAACTTTGTTTGCCTGCGTAGAACGTAATACGCACATCGACTTCTAGGGGAAACAACAAAATGCTAGAAAAATGAGCTACAAAGTTAAAACTAAAAACAATTTCTGTGTGTGCTGGAAAACTTTTCCAGTATATGCAAACATAACTACATATACATAGTTTTCAGTTTGTTCTCAAAAGAATTTACGCGTGAAATACGCGTGTAACTATAAACGCCGTAAAACCATCCATGATGGTGATGATGTTTTTGCTGATGATGTATAAACAGCTAAGGATAACAACATCTAGGCATAGCTGCTGCTAAGAACATTGTAGTAAAAAATACTAACAACAATAACGAAATCTTGTTAGTTTTCATCTTATATGAATTCCAAGGTTCTTTGAGTAACCAACCGTGTAATATTTGTAATTGCAGACTCTACAGGGATTTGCAACAGCAGTTGCAAGAAGCTGGGCTAATTTCTTTGAAATTAGTATGAGGATGAAATCCTTTGTAACATATTTGCAGAAATGGGAACATGATGAAAAGAAATAAAGAAATGAGAGTGGGCCTACACATACAGATATGCCTTTGAATGTTATTTAAATGGGTTACCATAGAAACTGGGTGAAACTATTTGTAAGCTAATTTTTTATATCATTCGTCGAAAATGAGGTCTTCTTAAATATGAATGGTATATTCAATGAAAAAATACCTTTAAGACTGCTACGTTAAATGGTTCTGGTTTTAACATAGGCGATCGTCTGTTTTTGTGGAACAAGACCCACAGGTAATCTATAAGAAGAGCAACAGGCCAACTATAAGAAGACCTACCGGTTTTCTATAAGAATAGCCACCGTTCTTCTATAAAGAGACCTAGTGATCTTTTATAAGGAGACTGATATTTTATGAAAAGAACTTCGGTTCTTCTAAGGACTAGCTTTTGGTCTTTCTGAATTTTTGTGATAATAGTTTTTGATTCTCAAGGAATAGACGTGCTTGTCTTCTAGGAGAAGACTTTCTGGGCTTCTATGAGAAACATTTTTGGCTTTCTAGGAGAGGAATTTTTTGCCTTCTATGAGAAGACCTTCTGGTTTTCTGTGAGAAGACTTCTGCTCTTCTATGAGAACACCTTCTTGTTATGTATAAAAATAAGACCTTCCGGTTTTCTATGAGATGACTTTGGGTCTTCTATGAAAATACTTTCTGGCCTTCTATGAGAAAACCTTGTTGTCTTCTATGATAAGATCTCCTGGTTTTCTATGAAAAGACATTTTGGTCTTCTAGGAGAAGACCTTGTGATCTTCTATGAGAAGAAAACAACTTTTGGAATTCTATGGTCTTCTATGAGAAGACCTTCTGGTCTTCTATGAGAAGACCTTCTGGTCTTCTATGAGAAGACCTTCTGGTCTTCTATGAGAAGACCTTCTGGTCTTCTATGAGAAGACCTTCTGGTCTTCTATGAGAAGACCTTCTGGTCTTCTATGAGAAGACCTTCTGGTCTTCTATGAGAAGACCTTCTGGTCTTCTATGAGAAGACCTTCTGGTCTTCTATGAGAAGACCTTCTGGTATTCAATGAGAAGAACTGCTGGTCTTCTAAGAGAAGACCTTCTGGTCTTCTATGAGAAGACCTTCTGGCCTTCAATGAGCAGACCTTCTGGTATTCAATGAGAATAACTTCTCGTATTCTATGGGAAGAAAATACCGTCTGATCTTCCATGAGAAGTCTTTCTGGTCTTCAATGAGAAAATATTCCATTCTCCTATGAGAACTTCTGGTAATCTATGAGAATACTTCATGGTCTTCTTGAAGAAGAACTTTAGGACCCCTACGACAATATATTCTTGGATTCTATAAGAATACCTTCTAGTATTCTATGAAAAAAACTTTACGGGTTCTTGCGAGAAAACATTCTGACCTTCAATGAGAAAATATTCTTGCCTGCAACGAGAAGAGCTTCTAATTTTCTATAACTTCTGCTTCTATTTTGCTATAAGAAGACCTTAAGGTTTCTATGCAAAGCTTTTCTGTGAGAAACCCCTATGTTTTTCTAGGAGACGATTTTCTGCTCTTCTGAAAGAAGAACTTCTGGGCTTATATGAAGAGATCTTCGGTCTCTTAATGTATAGTCCTACTGTATGTATAGTCCTACTATTCTATTCAATTATCAGAAGACCTAAAACATAGATTTTCTGGTCCACAAAAGAGTCTATGATATGATCTCCAGATCTTCCAAATGAAAAGTATTCCTATTTGAACACCTGTGGTGCCCTGTGGTTTGCGAAGACATTATGGTCGTGACTACGGCAAGAATACCTCATGTTGTCCAAGAAGAAGAGTCCCCATGAATACACTTTATTGCCTTCAATAAGAAGAGTTTCCGTTCAGCCCTCCAAGATATAATTTCTTTCTAGAAAGGTACCGCCCGAAGGGGCCCAAACTAAGCATACTAGGTTCTTGAAGGGCAATAAACATAGTTTGCAGAATATTTTCATTAAAGGTCCATTTTTAAAAGAATTCCTATATAAAAGTACCGAACCTCTTTTAGATCTGTTAAAAATTCAAGACGCATTTTCTACTAGGAGTCGATGTAATGTTGCGTTGCGGATTTTTGGTAGTTAAAAAAAACTTATTACTTAAGATATTTAATTTAGGTTCATATTTTAAAATAGGCTATTTCCCCTATTCCAGACTTTTGAAGGTTCTTGGGGCATTTTCTTTTAAGGGAAACGTTTTCGGACCGTGTTATCTCCCGAGGATGTGACCACATTTGGCCACCGATATCTTCTAATTTAATACATACAGACCTCTTCCTTTAATGCCACGTAAAAGATAAGGCCTACGTCAACAGCATAACGCAGATTTAAGGTCTTAAAGATGTAGTTCTTGAAGTTATCGAGGATATAGTGTAATTACTTAGTTATTTGACTACGCAAAACTTTATGACAAGAATATGGTCATGTAAGCGTGTTCATGGTGGTCATTTTGAGGATATTTTGAAAATTTGCAATAAGTTTTTAGACGAACACACCTTGATATTGTATATTAAAAAAAAATACAACTTCTACCGCTTTATAAACGTTTTGACATGCAAAATTTGTATATTTTCATATACTCCTCCTATTTACATTCATTTCAATTACAATTTCTTTCATTTTCCTTCTCTTCTCATCATCACATATTTAATTTTTACGTTTTCAAATGAAATTATTAAGTGAACTGTAGAGAAATACTATTTATTTTTAAACTTATTTTAAAAATTATTTTAAACTTTTCTCCTACTGGCCAACAAAACCAAAAAAAATTTAAGTAACGCTGAAAACCAACCGGAAAAGCAGAAAAGTAACCGAAAATAAAACATCGAAAGTGTCGCTTGGTTGCATGGTTAGTTGGTAAAAATAAGTTTATCGTCTATGTTTTTCGGTTCGTTCAGCAGCGTCATTTCAACAACTTACCCAAGGACACCACCAGCCAAAACTTCAGCCTGAGCGGAGAGTGTTTCTGCAATAGATTCATCGCTATAAATGCCAACTGGGGTATTGTATTGTTTATTGACAATGCTCTTAACGTTGCCATCGACGGTGTTGCCCTGAAATATATGAAAGAGGAGAAGGAGAAGAAGACATAGAAAAAAACGTATTAAAAATTGTAAATCCAAAATATCAACAAAACAATGAAGAGAGTTCAACAGCAGCTACTACTAGTGGATGGGATATCAACCATAAATTGCAGCTAGGAAATAGAAAGTACTTCACAAAAAATAAAGCATATATACACACATATATATATAGAGAAAAAAAATAAACTTTGTAAACTTCTAAGAGGGGGCGTTGCAGTGGCGATCAAAAGTATACAAAGGGTTCAGATTTTTTGAAATGAGTAAAAAATATAATAAGAAAATTTCAAAGTTCATTAAAATATTTAAAAAATTTATTTTATTTTATTATAACATATATTGGTCCACACTTTAAAAATATATCTTTCTGCAATTTTTTATTAAAATATTTATTGATCCCCGGTTACCAAAATATATACTCACCCACAAAGAATAAACTTTGTAAACTTCTATGGGGGGTTATTGCAGTGGTGATCAAAAATATACATATGGATAAGGGTCAGATTTTCCAAAAAGTAAAAAATGAATAGGAGGAAAAGCCTTCACACTCAATTAAAAGGGATAACAATAAAAATACATTATTCCTTCACTGTACATTTTTTCTCTCTCCATATCCGTCTATCTACAACACATTGTAGTAAGTTTCGAATGAGTATCAAAGTATATTAAGAATGTATCTTAAAAATCCATTTCCTCAACATTAAGTTTTAGTAAAGTTTATTGGTATGTCTGGTTTATTGTTGGCAACAGTTTTTTTGTTTGTTTATTTCTATTCTGTATTTTTACGCCCTCTTCTTTTTATTTTGCTTTCGAAAAAAATGGGTCACAAAGTATTATGTCTTTATAATGACTCTATTTTTCAAAGCTCTTGATGAGTTCAAATATAAATGATTGTGGCAAAAGTTTAAAATGCCCCTCAAAAGTGATAAAGTTATTAAAATAGTTTTTTATTGCATTATTCTCTGGGTTTGGTTATAAAAATGTTGCAGCATTGCAGTGTTAATTGAACGGCAATGCACTTTTAAAAGATGCAAAATATGATGTGAAAAATATATTTATACGACGAAATTATTAATATTAAACGGGGAAGGGATACGTTTAAAAAGACGGAAATTATTAGAATTTCTGGATGACAAAATAATTCCTTAAACATTAACAGAATAAAATACAAATGTTGAAAACAGTTGATAAAATTTTAGAAACCAGAAGGAGCTTTGGGTCGGCCAGTCATAACAGAATAATATTTAAGAGGACATAAAAATCGATATTTTACTTAATTTTCACCTATAAGTTCTTAAGAATGTATCTTTAAATTTTCAAGTGAAAATTAAAAAACTCTTGGATGTGTGGTCAAATATCGATCGCTACAAAAATCTTCTTTGAAATGGACAGCTTCTGAAGTAGAGACAAATGTCGAACATTAATGCGTTTGAATTTACATCGCCGATTATATTTCGAAATAACTTCGATATAAATACAAATTATCAACATACGACCTTTGTAAAGCCATATGGCTCAACATTCCTGAAGAGCCACTCAACCTGTATGTTCTCTCTGGCTTTCCTTTTCCTGGAAAAACTTTTACGATTAAATTCGACTCGAAAAACAAGAACTAACTAAAAACTTTGCATACCCTTCACAATGAGGTGGACATTCAAATTACCTAAAATCGATACAATGGGGTGAATATCCAAAATACCTAAAATCGATCTGGATTTTTAGATGGGACCTCTACCCTGGTAAATTGTTAACGGAAGAAATTGAAACACTAAATTAAAGACACTCAGGTTGAGCTAAAAACTCCAACATACCGAAGACGTCATGTGTCGTTTTATATGGGTGTTATGTAGAAATATGGACTTAGAAATTATTGGAAAATCCAATTCATTGTTGTTTCGGTTGGTAAATATGCCTAGAACCATCAAATAACCTATAAAAGGTGTCCCTTTATATGGAGAGTCAATTTGGTCGAAAAAGTGTCTGGAGATATCAAATACAGAATATTGAGTTTACAGATGAGGACTATACCAAGAACTTATTTTGAAATACCGATAATATGGGAGTTACATTAAAATGTAACAAATTGGTCTTAGCGCTCCTCCTTAGCTCCTCACTACAAAACAACAACAAATGAGATAATTGCAGATTTATTATTAAATCGATGTTATAGCAATTGTTATAAAACAATGAGCTGAGATGACAGACGTTGGCCGAGAAAGACTCGGATCGTACATTCCTCTGTCGTGGATACGTTAAATCGATGTATTCTTACTTATTGAACATGTCTGTATCAAAATCTCAATTTTTAGAAAAATAGACTCATAGCATTTTCACCAAACCGAATCACATATTAAAACCAGTAAGGAAAGCAGTAAAGTCGGACGGGGCCGACTATATGATACCCTTCACCACTTTAAGTATATTCAACAGATGAATCCCAACAGACGTCGTATTTTTAAAGGACCAGTAAAATGAAATTGGATCCATAAACATGTCATTCTGCAACCGATACTAAATTTTTCATTTGGTCAGATATAGAAGCTATATATAAATCTGAACCGATTTCAGGAAATCTAACACATCATTCCATACCTACTCAGTACCCTATGCCGAATTTCGTGCAAATCGAAAGATATATAAAGACTTTGGCGCACCATTTACCATAAATCGGACGAAAATGTATATGGGAGCTATATCTAAATCTGAACTGATTTTCAGGAAACTTACCACATATCATTCTAGGCCTAATTCATTACGCTGTTCCCAATTTCGTGCAAATCGAATGACACTAAGGCACTTTAGTGCACCATTTACATTAAATCGGACGAAAATATATATGGGAGCTATATCCAAATCTGAACCGATTTTCACGAAACATAACACACATCATTCTAGGCCCAATTCATTACGCTGTGCTAAATTTCGTGCAAATCGAGAGATATATAGGGACTTTGGTTCACCATTTACCTTAAATCGGACGAAAATATATATGGGAGCTATATCTAAATCTGAACCGATTTTCAGAAAAACTTAGCACACATCATTCTAGACCTAATTCATTAAGCTGTGCCAAATTTCGTGCAAATCGAAAGATATATAAGGACTTTGACGCACGATTCATATTAAATCGGACGAAAATATATATGGGAGCTATATCTAAATCTTAACCGATTTTCAGGAAACTTACCACATATCATTCTAGGCTTAATTCATTACGCTGTGCCAAATTTCGTGCAAATCGAGAGATATATAGGGACTTTGGTGCACCATTTACCTTAAATCGGACGAAAATATATATGGGAGCTATATCTAAATCTTAACCGATTTTCAGGAAACTTACCACATATCATTCTAGGCCTAATTCATTACGCTGTGCCAAATTTCGTGCAAATCGAAAGATATATAGGGACTTTTGCGCACCATTTACCTTAAATCGGACGAAAATATATATGGGAGCTATATCTAAATCTGAACCGATTTTTCCCAATTTCAATAGGGTTCGACCTTGGGCCAAATAAGTGAACTGTGCCAAATTCCAAATCCAAATCGGATCACAAATGCGACCTGTACTTTGTTAACAAAAATACATTTTTTATGAAACTGAAATGGTAAATCCTTTCAGAAAGTGATTCTATGCATATAAAAGGAACCATGGGTCTATCTCGATTTTCTTTTGCCTGTTACAAACATATGCACAAAGACATAATACCCTGTACCACAGTGTGGTGAAGAGTATAAAAATGCTATAGTGAAGTTCTATATTAAACCTTCAGAAGGCATTCCATCTCTAAGAGAACCATAGATGTGAATCCCTTTGCAAGAAAGTTTGCGACTTCTATTTGTGAAAATTTAATCTCTAAGGGGTAGATTAATTTATTCTTTACCTTGAAAAAATTTTTGCCGATATATTTTCAACAATTTCACACCTTTGTTAAATATATTTTTATTTTTTATATACTCAATGTTTCTTAAAAATTTTTTTATGTCTTACCTAATTTTATTCTATAAAAAGAGTTTTTTGAAAGCTATTTATTAGTTACTTTACAAAAATTCTAATAAATTCACGTATTGAAATCTCCCATATTCTCTTACATGATTATTACTACGAAAACCCTTACAAATTATTTTTAATTAAATTTTCAACATATCTCTAAATTTCTATTTTCAGTTTTACAAATTTATACCAAAATCTATTATCATTATTTAGTTCTTTGTAAAGCTTGTTATTTATATTCAAAAGAGCATTTTGACAAGTAACACTTTTGTATAATCCCAATCCCTTAAATACTAAAAGTCCCATATATTTATTCGTAAAGGGAAATCCTCTTGAGGATGAAACTATTCATATTTCATATTTTTGACACATTCCAAGCAACAACAACGACGACAACAACCCAAATGAATATAAATGTGTTACATAGATGAGGCACAAATGTGGTCAGGCAGCAGTAAATGTAAATATATTTTTTGGAAATTCTCAAAAGGATATACAAACATAGATGCTACTATAAAGAAAAACCAAACAGCAGCTGTACCATAAGGAGGCAAGGAATGTATTGAATATAAACTAAATCAAAATAGAATATAATATAAAGAAAAATGTATATGTAGGTATATTTGTGTGCGTATATATTTCAATCATTTGTCATGTAATATTATTAAAATGTCATCTCCTTTTGCTGTCATGAATTTTGGCCATTGCTCTCTCCCCACCCCCTAAAAAAAGGATAACCAACATTTGCTTGTTATACTAATCCTTTACTCCTTTGGAATTATGTTGCCAAGAAAGAAGGTGATACCCAAAGTTATGGTACGATACAAAAAAAATCTTCTGACAAGGGAATAAAGGATAAAAGTCTTGTGGCCCAGAAACCCCTTTTCACCAAAAAAGCAAGACTTTTAACACTTTATGAACTAAAGCCAATTTACATTATTATGTTTGCTGTTTTGCAAGGGGTAGAGGAGTTTTGGGTCAACTACCATTATTATCATGACTACCACACTACTATACTAATGAATATTGAAGTTTAAAATATGTAGATGTTAGTAGTACCTCCCAAACCCTTTCTCTCCCTCCTTTCTTATCAAAGTTTCCAAAAAATCCCTATTGTTATGTAGTTTTCTTATTTTTCCGGTTTTGAACACAATTATATTAAAATGTTTTCTCTTCTTCTTGCTCATATTCTTGACGTTACTTACAAATGGTTTAGCCGCATTATTATAGCCACAACCAATGTGTTGGGATTCCTGTTGTTTGTGGGCCAATGAAGTTTTTGTCACTGTTTGCAAATGGCTTTGGTTGGGTTGGGGTACATTTCCGGTGGGCTGTACATGTGGACGCCAGGTTGAACCACCTCTGCAATAAGGTAAATAAATGATTCATTACATTTTGTATTGAATGTTCAAATGTTATTGCAACAAAGTTTGGGTTTAGGTGTGATCGCACTTTTACTTCACCTCACCCCCCTCACATACCTTTGAACTGTCATAACGAAGTTGTTGCCAGAGCGTACAACAATATCTTGGGCTTCCTTGTGGCGTAGATTGAAAACATCGACATCGTTGATTTTGATCACAGCATCACCGGGCAAGAGGCCGGCTTGTTCGGCAAGACTACCGCCATTGACCTGGAAGAAAAAAAGTGGAAAAGAGACAAGTTAGATATTTGTAGCTAATTGGGGAATATCAAAGAAATCGATGAGAGGTCTCATTTTTGGGGTGACCTCTAATTACCAAAAAAAAAAATCTCATAAGATGTAAAAAAATGGGATATGCTAGCCCATTTTTATACCCTTCACCAAACTGCAGTACAGGGTATTATGTCTTTGTGCAGGCAAAAGCAAACAAGATAGACCCCTGGTTCGTTTTGAGAATACGCAAAGGATCACTTTGAACTGTCATAAAGAAGTTGTTGCCAGAGCGTACAACAACATCTTGGGCTACTTTGTGGCGTGTCGTCTGTCCATGTATTTGTGTGAACAAAGTAAAGGTCGCATTTATGATCCGATTTAGATGAAATTTGGCACAAGTCACTTATTTGGCCCAAGGACGGAGAAAATCGGTTCAGATTTAGATATAGGTCCCAAATATATTTTTGTCCGATGTTATACAACATGTGCACCAAACTCCCAATATTTTCCGATTAAGACAACATTTTGCACAGCGAACTGACTTATGTCCAGGCTGATGTATGTGAAGTTTTGTTAAAATCAGTTCAGATTTAGATATAGCTCCCACATATGGTTTCGTCCGATTTTATGTGAATGATGCACCAGTTCGACTGAAACAAAATTTTGCACAGCGTACTGACTTATGTCCAGACTGATGTATGCGAAGTTTTGTTAAAATCAGTTCAGATTTAAATACAGCTCCCATATATAGTTTCGTCCATTTGTCCGATTGAGATAAAATTTTACACTGCGTACTGAATTAGATCTATACTGATGTATGTGAAGTATTGTTGAACTCGATTCGGACTTAGATATAGCTCCCATATACAATTTCGGCCGATTTTTGAGTAAATGTTGCACCAAACTTCCAATATTTGTCCCATTGAGAAAAAAGATTTTCAATAGCGAATCAATTCAGGCAAAATTGATGTGGTTTGTTGAAATCGGTTCAGGATATTGTATATATTAACATCTCTTGTATGTACCTAAAGTTGTGAAGGGTATTATATAGTCGGTCCCGTCCGACTTTTGAACTCTTCTTACTGGTTTTTAAAAATCCGCATATAATCATTTCGTTTTACTCAAAGTATTAGGAAAACATTCTTACAGAACTTCCAAATGAAGTGAATACAATTTGGGAGTTTATATTCCTTACATTCGGTTTGACACATCTTCTAAGAATATCTTAGCCGAAGTTTTCAACCTGAAGGTCTGTAATTTGGAATTTAAAAGTCCTCCTGGCAGAAATTTACATTTTCAGGTTTTCTATAAAACAGAAGCCTTTTAAAAGAATTTTTAAAAAAATAAAACACTATTATCCTCCAAACACTATTATCCTTCAAATTCCTAAATTTAACCATAAATTTCCACGCCAAATTGAAATGCTATAACCAATGCCAATATTTACAATGGTTGTCAAAACGTTAACAATTCAATTATGTTTTGCATAAATCACAGGTCATTTGATCGACCAGCTTAGCGTTAAGGCTGGACAAACATACAACAACAGCAACAACAACGACAACATAGCCATAGGGTTTTTTTTGTGGACACAACAATTTTGATGGTGGCAACAAAGAATATGGGACCACCACGACCAGGCTATTGTACGAGGAAAAACAACAAAAACAAACATTTTAGATGCTGGAACAATGGACAAATTTTTGAATTCAAACAGCTTGAAATTTGCTTTGTTGTTGTTTTTGTATGCGTTTAATTTCTGTTTGTTTTTGCAGCTACCACCAATAAAGGTCCTATGCGAAAAATCAAACCAATTGTGGTTCACCATTTTAGAGCAAAGTGTTTGTATTCATTTCTTTTTTTGCACAATAGTCAATGGCGTTTTTATGGCATCACACACACAATATCACACGTGGGCACATTGGTCCGCAAAGGTCCTAGGTCTAACTAAAAACTAAACAAATAGTTATGCCAACAACAATCAGGCCAGCTAACAAACAAACAATACGAACCAACCGTCCAACGAACATACCAACACAATACAAAGTCACAAATGAATTTATTATTGCCAAAATCTATAGAAGCAACAAAGCAAATGGTGAAAACAACAGTGACGGCAATTGCTAGAAAAATATGATTCTACAACAACAACAACAGCATCGACAACAAAAAGGGACTATTGATATTTCCGAAATTTGGTTTTGTTGTCCTGTGATTTGTAGTCATTGTTGTTTAGTGGCCCCAGCCACATTTCTAAAGCCAACATCAGCCACCACCCAGTCATCAGTATCACAACATGTACATCAATGTCAGGAAACCATACATACCCAGTAATAATAGTAGGATGTTGTTAAACATTTTAATGGTTCTTCGATATCTTCTGGTGGATATTTTAAATATATAAATATGAATTTTTTCAATCTACGTTTCTAACAGTCCTTAAAAAGATATTTTTTAAATACCCACGATTCAGGAATACTTTCTCAAATATTCTAAAAAATCTATGCTTCTGGAAGTCCTTAAAAAAACATATCAAAAAACATAAGAAATATTTTTTTATATTTTTTAAAAAAGTTTTTGAGGACTATACAAAGGCGAGGATTCTTTAAAAATATTTTTCAAAGAATCGCCAACATCTATCCTTCAATTGTAGTTCAGAAAATAAATAATAATCCGCTCTTCCGATATAGTTGAAAAAAATATTTCAAAAAGTATATTTTAACACGCTGACGGACAGTAGAAACCAGTGAAATTCGAAAACATGACACTAGGCTTCTACTTGTACGTTGGTAAATGCACATTTGTGCTGCTGCAGCCGTCATGTCACACTTGAACTTGAACTTGACGGCTATATACGCAACTGTCGGTCAACGTGTTAAAAAATCCACGCTTCTCATGTAGCCCAAAAAATATCTTTTTCTTCTAGACTTAATTCAGTACGCTATGCCAAATTTCGTCCAAATCGGAAGAAATGTAGGGACTTTGGTACACCACTTACATTAAATCGGGAATATATATATATATATATATATATATGAGAGAAATCTGAACCGATTTTCACGGAACTTTACTCACATCGTTCTAGGGTATATTTAGTACACTATGCCAAATTTCGTGCAAATCGGAAGATATATAGGGTCTTTCGTACACCATTTACATCAAATCGGTCGAACATATGTATGAGACCTATATCTAAATCTGAACCGATTTTCGAAAAATTTTACACATATCATTCTAGACCCATGTTAGTACGCTATGCCAAATTCCGATTTTCAAGATCCATGTTCCATTTTCAAGATCCATGTTCCATGATCCATTCTAGATCCATGTTAGTACGCTATGCCAAATTTCGTGCAAATCGAATGATATATAGGGACTTTCGTACACAATTTACCTTAAATCGGTAGAACATATATACGGAAGCTATATCTAAATCTGGACCGATTTTCATGAAATTTTACACACATCATTCTAGACCTAATTCATTACGCTATGCCAAATTTCGTGCAAATTGAAACATATATAGGGACTATGGTATAGCATTTTCATGAAATCGGACGAAAATATATATAGGAGCTATATCCGTATCTGGACCGATTATCAGGAAACTTAACACACATCATTCTAGACTTAATTCAGTATACTTTGCCAAATTTCGTGCAAATAGAATGATATATACGGGCTTTAGTACACCATTTACATTAAATCGGACGAAAATATATATGGGAGCTATATCTAAATCTGAACCGATTTTTCCCAATATCAATAAGGTTCGTCCTTGGGCCAAATTAGTGACCTATGCCAAATTTCATCCAAATCGGATCATAAATGCGACGTGTACTTTGTTTACAATTTAACATGGACAAACGGACGGACGGAGATGCATAAATCGACTTAGAAAGTGATTCTATGCATATTCTTAAAAGGTACCATGTGTCTATCTCGTTTCCTTTTGCCTGTTACAAACATATGCAACAAAGATCTAATACCCTGTACCACAGTGTGATGAAGGATATAAAAATGTGTTTTTTTTATCCGGGCTTTTGATATAGTTCGAAAAATTTTCTTTTTTAATATGATAGTCCTTCAAAAAGGCAAAAATATCTTCCCTCTTGTTTTACTGGGTTTCTGTCAAAAAAAAAACCTTAAACATATTTTAAAGAAAGGACAAATAAGGCAAATTTGCCAATGCCTACACAAAGCCCGCGACCCTTTCTTTCTCCCGTAATTATATATTTGGGGATAAAATACACCCGAGAGAGAGTGAGAGCAAAATTTGTTGTTTCAAAAAGCAAACCCCAAAAACCGTAACCGCCAACAGGGACCTCAACCTTTATTGCATGCAGCGGTTTTAGAGCCGATGCTGCTGTTATTTGAAGAGGGTATACGTGCATCCTGTGATGGTCCTGTGTGCACTCAAAAGTACGTATATATGTGTCTAAATTCATATACACATATAAAAATCTATTGTACTTAGAGCATATTCACAGTCTGTTAGCCATGTTTTGTATACATTGTCTATTGAAAATGCATGCATGAATGTATGGATGTATGTATGTGTGTATGTAGTATTTATGCTTTGTGTACTTATTTGTGGATTTATGGTATTTTCAAGCTCCTGTTCACAGTATTCACCTCTGCCCCCCCTATGGAATCATATAAATTTGTCCGATTTTGAATCATAAAAATAAATGCAGTTGTTTTGGTACATAAATTTTGTAGTTTATTTTATTTGTTTGTTTGCTTTTTTCGAAATCCATATTTGCAAGTGTGTGTGTGTCTACTGTTTTGTGTACGTCTACTGTTTTGCGTCAATTGAGGAACAACGGTCAATATGATTGTATGGGTGATGGTGTAGCAGCAACAGCAGTTAAATGAAATATTCAATTAGTTGAGATTTAAACAAAAATATTTTGCATAGAATTTTGTATCAACAATTTATTGAATGGAAAATATTTGGTGAAAACGAAAAAAGCTATTGTCTGGATTTAGGGATAAATATAAAATTTTTTAATAAGTTAACTGAAAACTTTTTCCAGGATTATTAACGAGTTTGGATTAAAAAAATCTTTTTTAAGGACTATAAATAGTCATGGGTTGCTTTAAAAATTTAGATTTTTTAAAGAATATTTTTCGGGAGATATAAGAGGCGTGGATATTATAAAAAATCGTTTTATTTGGTGGCCTAAAGAAGGCGTGAATTTTTTAAAGAATATTTTTCCGGGGACTATTAGAGGCGTGGATATTATAAACAATCGTTTTTTTGGAAGCCTAAATGAGGCGTGGATATTATAAACAATCGTTTTTTTTGGAGGCCTAAAGAGGCGTGGATATTATAAACAATCGCTTTTTTTGGAGGCCTAAAAGAGGCGTGGATATTATAAAGAGGCGTGGATATTATAAAGAATATTTTTGGAGGCCTATAAGAGCCGTGGATATTATAAAGAATCGTTTTTTGGAGCCCTAAAAGAGGCGTGGATATTATAAAGAATCGTTTTTTTGGAGCCCTAAAAGAGGCGTGGATATCATAAAGAATCGTTTTTTGGAGCCCTAAAAGAGGCGTGGATATTATAAAGAATCGTTTTTTGGAGCCCTAAAAGAGGCGTGGGTATTATAAAGAATCGTTTTTTGGAGCCCTAAAAGAGGCGTGGGTATTATAAAGAATCGTTTTTTGGAGCCCTAAAAGAGGCGTGGATGTTATAAAGAATCGTTTTTTGGAGCCATAAAAGAGGCGTCGATATTATAAAGAATCGTTTTTTGGAGCCCTAAAAGAGGCGTGGATATTATAAAGAATCGTTTTTTGCAGGCCTATAAATAATATCTTTGGAGGCCTATAAGAGGCGTGGATATTATAAAGAATATTTTTGGAGACCTATAAGAGGCGGGGATATTATAAAGAATATTTTTGGAGGCCTATAAGAGGCCCATAAGAGGCGTGGATATTATAAAGAATATCTTTGGAGGCCTATAAGAGGCCCATAAGAGGCGTGGATATTATAAAGAATCGTTTTTTGGAGCCCTAAAAGAGGCGTGGATATTATAAAGAATCGTTTTAATATTTAATATATATTTTTTTGGAGGCCTATAAATAATATCTTTGGAAGTCTATAAGAGGCGTGGATATAATAAAAAATATTTTTTTTAAATATATTAAAAATATTTTTCAAAACTATACCATGGCGTGGTTTTTTTAAGAACTGTAAAAGGTTCGCATTTTTTTTTAATGCAAACCTTCTCTTCGGAATCCTTGTTGCTCTTATCGGCTCAAAAATCAAATTCACCAATTACAAATTAACTCTTTATTCACACCGCAAACAATCGCCACATTAAATATGTTCAAACTTCAAGAAAACCAATTTTTTATTCTCACGTTAATTTATTGCTAATCACGTATAAATTCCATAAATCACATAGCACCATAACACGAAAAACAACCAACAAACATTATTTAAATATCTCACGTTTTTAAACTCAATTAAAAATTGTAATTTATAACCAACAACAACAACAACGACGATTGAACCCAAAATGTAAGATAATTAAGAAAACAAATTTTGCAAATAATTTTACATTTTAGCAATTAATTACAATTTATGAGCTCAACAAAAAATCGTAAAAATATACTCATGCATTATTTTGGCAATTAACATAATTGAGTCGATGTAGTTCACTTTTATCAGGTGAAAATTATTTCAACTAAAAAAATAAATTATTTTATGTTTCACGAATAAAAAAAATAAATATTGTCGCCTTAAATCTTTTAAGGGGTTTTTTAAAGTGAAAATTGTCCATGCATCCCTACATATATAGCCAGAACAGTTACGTGGGGCCATGATGTTGAACCACCATAGAGGAAAACATAACAGCACACTTTTCCATTGCTTCTTGTATTCGAGGTTTTCATTTTTTGCTTTTGGTTATATGTGGAGGGCAATTTATCATGTTATGGAAGCCCAGGTGCAAGGAGGCGAACACGTTAACAATTTTTGGTTGGTGTTGTTGTTGTTGTTGCTGTTTGCAGCATTTTGTCATAAAAACACACCGTGCCACCTAGCTGTTGGATACAATACCATAGTGTTTGTATATATGATATGTGTGTAAATATACGCACACACATGAGCATAAATTTCTTCCCAAAAAATATATAGTTTTCATTTTTATTAGTTGTACTGTTTGTTTCAAGTTTAATGTTGAAGAAGCCCATGTCAGCAGGATGGAATGGGTGGAACATATGGAAAATTTAATGGGACCTTGGGAAAGTTTTACCTCTAAAATATGTTTCTACATGCTATGTTTCATTTCAAAATTACACACTCAAACATGTATGAAACAATATGCAATCTGGACAGACATATTTTGGACATATGTGACCTTAAAAAACGTAAGGCTAATAATGGTCTGGATTTATTTAAATCTCAAGGACTATGAATCTTCGTGATTTTTTTTAAGAATATTTGTTTAAAGATTGTATAGTCTTTGGATTTTTTAAAAATATTTTCTCAAGGCCTATAAACAGACGTGGATCTTTAAAATTTAATATTTCATGGACTATAAACTTGTATGGATTTTTCTAATATATATTTTTTAAACTATAATTAGGCGTGGATTAAAAAAACATATTTTCAAGACATTTATATCCAACTTCTAGGTTATATCAACTCCAGTACGTTGTGCAAAATTTGTGTCAATTTTGTGTAAAATCGGACAAAAATATATGTAGACTTGCCAGAAATTAAATTAATCGAAAGTAAAAAATATATATAATCTGAACCGATTTCCACGAAACTTAACACACATCATTCTAGACTTAATTCATAACGCTGTGCCAAATTTCGTGCAAATCGAATGACTTTGGTACACCATTTACATTAAATCGGACGAAAATATATATGGGAGCTATATCTAAATCTAAACCGATTTTCAAGAATCTTAACACACATCATTCTAGACCTAATTCATTACGCTGTGCCAAATTTCGTGCAAATCGAAATATATATAGGGACTTTGATACACCATTTACATTAAATCGGACGAAAATATATATGGGAGCTATATCTAAATCTGAACCAATTTTCAGGAAACTTAACACACATCATTCTAGCCCTAATTCAGTACACCGAGCCAAATTTCGTGCAAATCGAAAGATATAGAGGGACTTTGGTACACCATATACATTAAATCGGACGAATATATATATATATATATATATATGGGAACTATATCTAAATCTGGACCGATTGTCAGGAAACTTAACACACATCATTCTACACTTAATTCAATGATATATGGGGACTTTGATACACAATTCACATTAAATCGGACGAAAATATATATGGGAGCTATATCTAAATCTGAACCGATTTTTCTCAATTTCAATAAAAATATTTTTTAAGGACTAAATAACATTTTCCTAAGGACAATATACAATTTTCCAAAAATATTTCTTTAAAAAAATATACACCGTTATATATTTAAAACCAGTGAGCGGAGCAGTATAGTCGGACGGGCCGACCATACGATACCCTACACAACTACCACGGAACTCTAACTTTCTGCGGATGTTTATTCCGAGTCTGGGTAATATTTCGTAATAATTGCTCCCTCTTGTCAACAGCACCTCTTCCTTTCATTTTCGAATATTCAGTACAGCCCTTCTAATTGCTTGTTCAGATTGCCTTCACGGTGGGTTCTGTTGTGATGTTCGGACTAAATTCGACTCGAAAACACACAAAAAAAATTAAGTTTTCGGTCCATTTCATCCCAAAAGTTTAATCTGATCATTACCGAAAATTGTAGGCGTTGTCCTTGACCATAGCTGGAAGTTCATGGAAAATTTCAAAGCGATCAGCGCAACATTTCCGCCCTCTGATGTGGTAATGGCTTACAAAATAATATCTGAGTACGTAAGCACCTGTAAATATTTGAGTGTAACTCCCACATCTGAGTAGATACATCACTATATTTGGTAACAATTTAAAGGCTAACAACTCCTCTTGGATATACTATCAACTCCTTAGGTGTATATCCTTCAGGAGTAAATATATACGCTATAGAATACAAATGTTGTAATTTTTCACACAAAAGTCAGGGTCAATTTGACCCGCTAAATATTGACCGATCTTTATCAAAACATGCATGCTTATTCCCTGGCCCGATCCCCTTGTCCATGCAAAAATTCGCGGTGTTTGGGTCATAATTGCGGCTTCTGGAGCGGCCAGAAAAACCGACAAAAATAAAGTGTTTGGTCCATTTCATCCCCTAAATATTAACCGATCTTTTCCAAAAACAATAGGGTTCTTCATTGGCCAGAACCCATACTACATGCAAAATTTCGTGAAGATTGGTCCATAACTGTGGCCTCTATCGTGTTTACAAATTATAGTGGACAGACGGACGGACGGACACACATGTCGAGATCGACTCAGCTAGTCGAGATATGGCGATCGGTTTTCTTAAAGGTGGGTCTAGGACCAATATTTGCGGCGTTACAAACTTTTGGGGCTGCACAAAGCTATAATATCCTGACAACATAGTTGTGTAGGGTATAAAAACTGGTTTCTTTATACATCCTGTGCTATAATTTTAAACCCACTAGTTAGTATTTTTGGGGCATGTGCCACTGCAAAAAAATGACAATTATTTTGTGATTGGGCTACCATGGGCTCCATGGAAGTCATTGTGCTTATGGCAGTTGTCATATATATATATATATTTTTGTCCCATAGCCCCAGTATCGAAAGCATGCAACCAACAACACTAATTGTATTCTCCACACAAACACCCAAATAGTTTGGCGGACGTTTGGCTCGTGTCAGATATATCTACATGTGTGTACATATATTTTTTATATGTTGGTGATCTCCAAACTGCATATTGTGTGGAGCCATATCATACCACGGGCCAGTACAACAGCCACAACAGGGAACTCAAATGAACAAAGACTTACAGCATTGGCGGTAGTGTTGGTGGTCATGTGGACAGGCATATTGACAAATATATACATGCCAATTCTCGTCGAATAGTTTAAATAATGAAATATGTATGTGCAGATGTATGTATTTATGGAAGCCATGGAAGTGATTTTTCGAATGAAATGGAAAACGCCCAAAAAATGGAAATATTTTTTTTCGGATTGAAATTCCCACTTTCTTTGGCTACGGAAAAGACTTAAGGCTTTTACTTTCCTCGGGTAGTCGGAAGGGAAAATAAAACCCTATATACATAAAATACATACATACATATATACATTTGCAGATGTTATCAGTTGGGTATGATTTTGATAAAAATCTCTCTTAGTTTCCGTTACGAACCACACACACCCATATGCATCTAAATTTTATTATAACCCCCCCAAAACCGCATTTTCCATATTTCCTTGCCTCGACTCTCTAGCCAATTCTCTGTAGTGCTAACAAATTTGATAGTAGTTTGTTAAACGTTTTACCAGAGATAGTGTGAATGTATTTGGCCAAGGTGTAGTCAAGTAGATCAATGCATTTGTTGTATTTGCTGATGATGCTGCTGCTGCTGTTAACCACAGGGGAGCATTTATCAAGTCAATAATATATTTTCAATCGACAGTTTTATGGCCACCTCAGGTTTCTTTTTCGACATTTTCTGTGGATTAGGAAATTGTTTGTGTCCAAAGTGTTTCCACAAAAAAAGAGCCCACGTGCTAAAATGTTCGTGTGCAAGGGGTTTGTTTGATTTTTATATTTTCTAAATTGAAGGACAGTGGTTAGATTGTGTGCGGATTTTATTAAAATATTATTTTCCGGGACCATTAACAGGCTTGGATTTAATAAAAATATTTTCTCAAGGCCTATAAAACTGTGTCTCAAGTCCTATAAAAAGACAACGATTTTTTAACCCTTTCAGTGACAAAAAAAATTAAAATTAAGATCATATAAAGGCACAGAGTTTAGAAAAAAAGCTATTCTTATTTTATTCCTGGGACAGTTTTGTCTCTCTTTCAACAAAAACATCAATTGTAACGGTACATAGGATAACCGAAAGATCGCAAAGAAGGAGAGTAATTTTAAATGTCGAATATATTCGACAAAAACACTGAAAGGGTTAAAAAAATTTCACTGGGCCTATAAACAGGCTTCGATTTCGATTTTTTAATATTTTCTCAATGCCTTTAAACAGGCGTGGATTTTTTACAAATATTTTCCCAAGGCCCATAAATAGTCGTGAATTTTATAACAATATTTTCTCAAAGCCTATAAACAGGAGAGGGGTTTTAAAAATATTTTATAAGGGCCTAAAAAAGGCCTAAATTGGGCAATACAGTCATAGATTTTTATAAAACTATTTCTATTAAAATAATCTTTAAAGGCCTCAATATTATCAGTCTAATTTAATTTTTTCCTGACCTACTGTACCTCACCATTCCGAAAATCGCAAACCGTTATAAATAACGAAAAATTGCTACTATGTAATTTTCTTATAGCACAAAAAAAAATACTACCAATCGAAAATCTTACAAACTAAATTACATTTTTTATGGAAACTTGAGAAAAAAGTGTCAGCGGGTTATTGGTGGTGCTCGTAGGCGTGTTTTTGCTTAGTCCCCCCATGTTCAAATCTATGCAAATCTCCAACCACTGCATGTCAAGTGGTGGCCAACGTGCTGTAAAACAAATTTCGCATTCAGACAAACTATTCGAATGTCTGTCGTGAGTACAACGTTTAACTAATTGTCGTATCAACTGTCATGTATCAATGTCAGTTTAACCATTTCAATCACATCGATTTTGTTCGGCTTATAAGGACGTTGTAGTGAACTGGGTTTGCAACGAAATCTCATGACAGACAAAGAGAGAGAGAGATTGACAGTTGGCATTAAAACTGTGAAAATAATTACTATTTAAGTTGATTTTCTTTTTGGGGGCAATGTGAAAATAAATTGAAAATAAATCCACGAAATGTAAATATCAAAATAGTTGGGGAATATTGCAAAGGTGTCCTCGTTATATTTACAAAATTGTAAAAAAAACTTTGTTATGCACAAAAAAATCCTTACCGTAACTGACTTTTCCACAGCCTCAAATCATTTAACATTGTAATGTTGCAAGAAGCTTAACTCATTCAACCATAACCGCAAGTCTTTAATGGATGTATTTACTCACACTTACTTATTCCCCCCACACATAGCCACAACCACACACACACAAACTCACTCGGTGTCTTGTCCACTGTCCGTCTCTCCTCTGTCCACAGTGTTGTTTAAAGCATATAATTAAAATAAAGAAGCTTATAAAGGATTATAACGCGCACCCTTCTGAGAACACTCACAAAGTAAAAAGGATTTAAACTTTTCTCCGAGTTTCAACAAACAAGCATACACACACATACACGCACATATACAACTGAAAAACAAGCAGCTTCGGTAGCATCGTGCACCTGAAACCCCAGCTGATAACAAACCCAGCAACCAGCAAGGACATCACACACACACATCAGCAAAAAACCAACATTGGACCATTGCACTATAGGTCAAATGACCGGTTTTCCTGTGCAAAATTGGAGAAAATCAAAGTGTCGTTCTTCACGAGTTGTTGTTGTTTTTGTATTTAGAACACTCTAAAATAGAGACACGTGATATTTATTAGTGCTAAATATAAAGTACCGTTACACAGCTGGCCGTGCAAGTCGCTCAATACAATTTATTCTATAAATATGCTTATATTTCTGTGGGCTTAGTCAACTTTGAGTGCGTATTATTTCGATTGTGTTTACAATAATTAATTAGTGTAAAATGAAAAATATAGATACAAGTGAGCATTTTTATATTCAATCAAAACATTTTTATGTTTGTGACACTATACTTGAAAATAACCCTTTAGTCTATGAAGGCTTTAAAAAGTTAATGTAATTTGATAGATTGACTTTCAGTAGGCTATTAAAAAAAATGACCCAATATGACCTCTTTGAAATTTTGCACAAAAATTAAGTGATAAGTAATGAGTTAATTTAAATTTATTTCAAGTTGCGATTTTTTGCGTTTTGCGAGTAATGCCTCTTTTATCTAGGCAACCTCCGTATAAAAATATCGAACTTTTTGAAATATGGAGAAAAGAAGGTAACAAAAAGAAAAAAACTGGTACTGTTTTCAAACATGTAGTGAGCAATATTGCTCTCGACAACATTTCGGATGAAAGAGAGAAATTTTTAAAGCAAATAGTACATTAATTTTGCTTAACATTTGCTCAAAATTTGGAAAAATGTCACAGAAAGATGAATGTTTTCAAAGACAACCAGTAAGGAAAGATCAAAAGTCAGACTGGACCGACTATATGATACCCTTTACCACTTTGGGTACAAACAAAAAATGATAATGTGTACAATATCCTGTTGATAGAAGAGACATACCATCTTTGGATGACCATTAACATGGAATCGGGTAAAAAACAAATGTGATCTACATAGATATTTGAGCCAATAAAAACCATACACATGACATTCTGAAATCTATAAGAAAATTGCATGCCAATCGCATGAATATTGCAAGTTTGGTGCACCATTTACCAAAAATCTCAATATGGACCGATTTCCAGGAAAACTTCATAGATGCCAAACTGGACTGAATTCAGTACGCTGTGCTATATATAAATTTGGACTGATTTCAACAAAACTTCACAGATGTCAAACTCGATTAAATTCCGTACGCTGTTCTACATTTTGTCCCAATCGGGCAAACATTTTCAGTTTGGTGCACTATATACCTAAAATCGGATGAAACTATATATGGGAGCTATATCTAAATCAGAACCGATTCCAACAAAACTTCGCATACATCAATCTGGACATAATTCAATACTCTGTGTAAAATTTTGTCTCAATCGGACCAATATTGGCAGTATGGTGTTCTATTTACATAAAATCGGACGAAACTATATATGGGAGCTATATCTAAAACTGAACCGATTTCAACAAAACTTGGCACATATCAATTTAGACCTAATTCAGTTCTCTGTGCAAAATGTTGTCTCAATCGGACCAATATTGGCAGTATGGTGCTCTGGTTACATAAAATTGGACGAAACTATATATGGGAGTTATATCTAAATCTTAACCGATTTCCACAAAACTTGACACATACCAATCTAGACCTAATTCAATACTCTGTGCAAAATTTTGTCTAAATCGGACCAATATTGGCAGTATGGTGCACCATTTACATAAAATCGGACGAAAATATATATATGGGAGCTATATACAAATCTGAACCGATTTCTTCCAAAATTCAAAAATAACGATTCAAGTAACAAAAAAATCAGTTGGGCCAAATTTCATGACGAGTACTAGGATTTTGTTGCCGTTATTAATTTTGCACAGAAAAAGTGGTCATTTGACCTATAGTGCATTGGACTTTATTCAACCTTAAGTGACATGATGACAATTATAACAAGGACACTAACAACATCAGAATATATAACAACATTGGTTGTATGTGTGTGTCAGTGTTTTTTCTCACTCTTCTGCCATAAACAACAATATGCTAGGACGCATATAACTTTGACATATCCCAATGTAATGCTGTGAAAAGTACTGGCCTGGTTAACATCGTATAAACAAAAATTGAAACGGCACAAACATGAACATAGAGTGTTTTTCGTATAGAGGAGGGAGATAAAAAATTATAAAGTAAGGTGTGAATACAGGTACTGGTAGATAGAGAAAGGTGTGCATATGTGTGTGCGTGTGAATGGAAGAGTTTTTGGGAAAACTAATTTAAAGGCGATTTAAGGTGGATGGAGCTAACGACTTTTAAAGAATGTGTATATTTTTATACACCATCTGTATAAAGACAACATCCTAGAGGGTTTTTTTTTGAGTACACAGAACTCTATAAAAGGGGTTTTGTAGGTTTCTGTAAAAAATTCTTTTTAAACCTCTTTATAGACTCCCATTAAGGATTATATACATCTATCCCCAATTAAGGAATCCGTATAGCACTACAAAGACTCCATTAGAGGA